TCAAAAGAAATTTCAATCATTGTACTGTTGATATTTGGCTCTGTTGACTAATGAGTTTGCCGACCACTGTCCTAGATGAACCTTGACTGAAATTTTACTTGTGATGTTATATCCAATACCAGAACAGCATGACCTATCTGAGAGTGGCAGTCTAGTTTGTAATAATTTTGAGGCCTAGTTGTGAATGTCAGGTCCATTATAAACATCTGGAGCTACTTTTATCCCCTTCAGGTTCGTAAAATTCTTCATTGACCACATAGTCAGCACTTAGGGAAGTTAGAGATACGCTTTCTGGTGTGTTAATTTATATAACAATCCATTTTTTGCTAATATTTCATTCCACCTGGGAGAGGTTTAAAGCAAAGGCATTATTTAAACTTGAACAGAAAAAAGAAAAAAGAGATGGCTGCACAGGTAAACACCTAGCCGCAGCCGCACACAACAATTTCAATAAAATACAACTAAAATATAAAATGGACATTACCCAGAACTACAGGAAAGTCAACTGACTGGAAATTCTACAACTAGAAGCAAGGAGAAAACCAGAAGGAAGTGCGGAGGAGCTGTAAAAGCCTAAGGTACAGAGACACGCGGCGCGCGCATGGAGAGGACGGAGCCGGAGAGGAGGGAGGCTGAGTGCCTGGCTGGCGTTCCCTAGCGGGAAGGAGATAAAAGCTCCGACTGTGCTGGGCCCCAGTTCCAACTGCTCTGAACCCCAGTTCTAGGCCAGACCCTCAGGGACCCAGGCTCAAACAGAGGGAGCTGGGCTGTAAGGCAGAACCCCGGGGGAGCAGCGAAAGGAGGTTCCAGAGACGCGCACATTGTGCGCAGAGAAGGGATGGTTGGCTGTGCCGCGGGATTGCCCTGGCGGGAAGGAGACAGGGGCTCTAGACTGCTCTGAATTCCACCTCCAACTCCACTTCCAACTGAACTGAACCCCAATACCAGGCTCATTGGGAGAGAGCCTAGACTAGGGGTGTTGAACTCAATCAGAGAAGGGGCCAAAATCTAAAATCCAGCCTAAATCGCGGGCCGAATGGTTTACTGAACAGTCATAAACTGTCATTGTGATGGAAACGCAGCGGAGTGCAGTGATGACAGCGCGGTGCGGGCCACATTGCAAGGCCTGGCGGGACGGATTTGGCCCGCGGGCCTTGTGTTTGACACATGTGGCCTAGACTGTTTGGTAGCAGGCGAAAATCGAGGGCACCTTTCTCTTAGAGGTGCTTGCAACAAATACTGAAGGACCCTAAGACTCAGGAGCCGCATAGGGCAGGGCTGACAGAAGCCAAAGCTGTAGGCTCCACCCTGAAACCCCACCCCATCAGGGAAGCTGCGAAAATGCTGAGACGAAATAGATTACAAACGAAAGAAATGGAGGACAAAAAGCGACTGGATATAGAGTTCAAATCTACGCTTATAAGGATAAGGTTTTTCAAGAATTTCCTAGAAAAGATCGATAAGACCTATGAGGCTATGAAAAGGGATCAACTAGAAATAATAAGGAATCAACGAGAAATGATAAGGGATCAACAAGAAATAAAGAATACACTGTCTGAAATAAAAAATACCATACAGAGTCCTAAAAACAGAATGGAAGATCGCAAGAATCAAGTCAAAGATTTGGAACATAAAGAGCCAGAAGACACTCCTCCGCAGAAGCAAGAAGGCAAGAGAATCCAGAAAGTTGAAGATAATGTAAGAAACCTCTGGGACAACTTCAAGCGAACCAACATCAGAATTATGGGGGTCCCAGAAGATGAGAGAGCAAGATATCGAAAACATATGGAAAGAAGTAGTGACATAAAATTTCCCCCACCTGGTGAAAGAAATAGACTTACAAGTCCAGGAACTGCACAGAAGTCCAAACAAAAGGAATCCAAAGAGGACCACACCAAGACAAATCATAATTAAAATTCCAAGAGCAAAAGACAAAGAGAGAATATTAAAAGCAGCAAGAGCAAAGCAGGTTAGTTACCTATAAAGGAGCACCTATACGATTGTCAGCTGATTTCTCAACAGAAACCATGCAGGCCAGACGGGAATGGCCAGAAATATTCAAGGTGATGAATAGTAAGAACTTACAGCCAAAGATAATCTATCCAGCAAAGCTATCACTCAGAATCGAAGGCCAGATAAAGAGCTTCACTAATAGAGAGGAGGTAAGATGGCGGAAGAATAGATGGGCGGATTCTGAGCCCTCTCCCGAAGCAGAAAGAGAGAGCAACTGAGGGTCTTGTGCTGTGAGTGTTTATCGGCAAGCTGGGAGACAGTGAACACCAGAAGAAACTGCTGGGGGGCTGCTGACAGAGGTGCCCCTCACAGGGAAGCACCCACGAGGGCTGTGTCCCTGCCCGGAGCTACCTACCAGCTTGGACAGGGAAACCTCGCCATCTTGAGAGGAAGATAGGATCGTGTCAGAGGCCTGAATATCCACAGCCGCAGCGACCACCAAGCATCTGTGACCCCCAGAACTCGGATCCCAGGCGGCGCGAACACCTGCCCTCACAGGATTGCCCCACTGCTCAGCGAAAAGGTCAGATTTTGCGGGGAGAGGGTGGAGAGCGCTCGCGGCAAAAACAAAAAGCGCGTGCGCACAGGCGCTCGCGGAAGCTTGAGGAGAAGGGCGGTGATTACAAGTAGCAGCCCCAGCTATTGGGCTGTTGTCACCCTTGAAAGTGGACGGGGTTCCTAACAGGGGAGATGTCTAAAGAGCAACACATTTGGATCTGGCTCGGAGGGATATCGGAGAGTTGCGGGAGATTCCAGTTGCTCGGACCTGCCCCCTCCCCCCCTCCGTAGTACCAGCTTCAGAGAGGACGGAAAAAAAAAAAAAAAAAAAAAAAAGCTGAAGAGGCTCTAGCACATGTTTCAAACACAAGGCCCGCGGGCCAAATCCGTCCCGCCAGGCCTTGCAATGTGGCCCGCACAGCGCTGTCATCACTGCACTCCGCTGCGTTTCCATCACAATGACAGTTTATGACTGTTCAGTAAACCATTCGGCCCGCGATTTAGGCTGGATTTTAGATTTTGGCCTCTTCTCTGATTGAGTTCGACACCCCTACAGAGTCTGGAAGTCAACCTAGAAACACTGCCCCCAGAGGCTAATTCACAAATTGACTCTAGTGTAATAAAAGCAAAGCAAAACCTGCCTAAAAATCAGGACTGGATCATAACAATAGAGGAAGCGAATGACCTTCATTTCTGCAAATTTTAATTAAATTCTTTAAATTTTATTATTATTTTTTTAATTTTTAATTTTTTTTATTTTTGTTTTCATTATTTGCAATGTTTACTCGAGAAACTATTTTTTTTCTTTTTCCTCACTTGATTTTATCTTGATAATTATTACATTGTATATGTAATCAACATTATTACTACTACTAATTTACCTTTTTCATCTTATTTTCTTTTGTTTATTTTTATTATTTTTATTTCATTTGATTATATATATATTTTTTAAATTTCAGGATTACTGTTCTACAGTCTTTATCTATCCTTCTTTCTCCAATGCTTTATTCTATCTCAACCCTACCTTTATGCCTTCACCCTCTTTCCAATCTTTTCCTTTGATACCCTGTTTATCTTAACCCTTTCCTGCTCTAGATTTCCCCCATTCCTTCTGTCTACCCCCTCCTAAAATTTCACCCTACTTGTATATATCTAATTTCCAACTACCTGCTCCAAACCCATTCACACCTCCCTTGCAGTTGTCCTAAAAACAAAACAAAACAAAAAAACAAAACAGTCTTTCTCTCTAACTCTTTGAAGTTGTATGTTGAATGTTAACTTTACTGAAGTTGTATGCTTTTCTTTTATAAGATTGATTTGCCTATGCTTTTTGTTTGATTGTATGTTTTTGTTAGCTGGATTCTAGTCACCCTTATTGGTGGTTATTAATATCGCAAACACATATCTATTCAGTGCCTTGTGTGTTGTACCTGGTTGTGTTGTATTTTGTGCCTTTAAATCAAAGCAGGAGAGAGAGAACTCCACAACCAGACATCCTAGATCATGGGGAGACCAAAAAACAGCCCGCATATGAAAGAAAAGCAGGCTTCACCAGAAAAGGAAGTAAACGATATAGAGGCAAGCAACCTACCAGAGCAAGAATTCAGAGTAACGATCTTAAGATGGCTAAAAAGAATGGAAGACAAATTTGACAATATGAGTAAGACCCAAGAGGAAATGAAAAAAACCCAAGAGGAAATGAAGATGACTCAAGAAGAAATGAAAAATGACATCGCTACTATGAAGAACTCAATAGAAAGCATCAAGAGCAGACTAGAAGAAGCAGAGGATCGCATCAGTGAGCTAGAAGACAAGATGGAAAAAAATACCCAATTAGAGCAGCTTCTAGAAAAAAAAATTAAAAAGCAGGAGGAGAGCCTACGGGAGCTTTGGGACAATGCAAAACAAAACAATATTCGAATAATAGGGGTTCCGGAAGGAAAAAAAACCGAGGTAGATATAGAAAACGTATTTCAAGAAATAATGACAGAAAATTTTTCTGAGATAGAGAAGAAAAACCCCACACAAATCCAAGATGCTCGCAGAGTCCCAAGCAAAATGGATCCCAGAAGACCGACGCCAAGACATATTATAATTAAATTGGCAAACACCAATGACAAAGTTAGAATCTTAAAAGCAGCCAGAGAGAGACAGAAAGTTACATATAAAGGAACCCCCATCAGACTAACAACTGATTTCTCAACAGAAACTTATCAGGCCAGAAGGGAATGGGATGAAATATACAAAGTCATGCAAAGAAAGGGTCTGAATCCAAGAATACTGTTCCCAGCAAGACTATCAATCAAAATTGAAGGGGAAATCAGGAGCTTCACAGACAAAAAAAGACTAAAGGAATTTATCTCCACCAAACCAGCAATGCAAGAAATGCTAAAGGGTCTATTGTAAAAATAAAGAAATAGGAAGAGAAGAAGGAACACAGGGGTATAGAATAAAAATGGCATCAAATGAGTACCTATCATTAATAACATTAAATGTAAATGGTTGAAATGCTCCAATCAAAAGACATAGGGTAACAGATTGGATAAGAAAACAAGACCCATACATCTGTTGTCTACAAGAAACCCACCTCAGAAAAAGAGATGCACACAGACTGAGGGTGAAGGGATGGAAAAAGGTTTTCCAGGCAAATGGAAATGAAAAGAAAGCTGGGGTAGCAATACTTATATCTGACAAATTAGATCTCAGAGTGAAGGACATAACAAGAGACAATGAAGGCCACTTCATAATACTAAAGGGAGCAATCCAACAAGAAGAAATAACCCTGGTAAATATATATGCACCCAATACGGGAGCACCCAAATATATAAAAAAAAAAACTGCTGGAGCACATTAAGGGAGAGATTAACAGCAATACAATCATAGTAGGAGATTTTAATACCCCACTGTCACCCTTCGACAAATCATCTAAACAAAAAATCAGCAAAGAAATATCAATCCTCAATGACTCACTAGACTAGATGGAATTAATTGACATCTTCAGAACATTCCACCCCAAAGCCACAGAATATACATTCTTCTCAAATGCACATGGGACATTCTCAAAGATAGACCACATTTTGGGACATAGGCAAAGTCTCTTCAAATTCAAGAAGATAGAAATCATATCAAGCATCTTCTCAGACCATAATGGCCTAAAACTGGAAATTAACTACAATAAAAATAATCCAAAGAAATCAAACACATGGAGACTAAACAGCATGCTATTAAACAAGGACTGGGTTACCAGAGAAATCAAGGAAGAGCTTCACTAATAAAAAAATAAAAAAATAAAAAGCTAAAGGAGTTCATCACCACCAAACCAGAATTATATGAATTGCTGAAGGGGGTTCTTTCAGAAGAGAAAGTAAATAAAAATAAAAATTATGAACAACAAATACGTAACTATCAACGAGTGAATCTAAAAACCAAGGAAATTTAAAAAACAAATCTGATGAACAATATTAACTGGTGAATATAATAGAATCAGAGGTACTAGCTTTTGACAGATTTGCACCATGCATGAATATAAGCTAGTCGTTCTTGGCTCAGGAGGTATTGGAAAATCTGCTCTGACTGTACAGTTTGTTCAAGGAATTTTTGTTGAAAAATATGATCCTACGATAGAAGATTCTTACAGAAAGCAAGTTGAAGTTGATACACAACAGTGTATGCTTGAAATCTTGGATACTGCAGGAACAGAACAATTTACAGCAATGAGGGATTTGTACATGAAAAATGGACAAGGCTTTGCATTAGTTTATTCCATCACAGCACAATCCACATTTAATGATTTACAAGATCTGAGAGAACAGATTCTTCGAGTGAAAGACACTGATGATGTTCCAATGATTCTGGTTGGTAATAAGTGTGACTTGGAAGATGAAAGAGTTGTAGGAAAGGAACAAGGTCAAAATCTAGCAAGACAATGGAACAACTGTGTATTCTTAGAATCCTCTGCAAAATCAAAAATAAATGTTAATGAGATCTTTTATGACCTAGTGTGGCAAATTAACAGAAAAACTCCAGGGCCTGGGAAGGCCCACAAAAAGTCATTGTGTCAGCTGCTTTAATATACTAAATGCATTGTAGCTCTGAGCCAGGTCTGAAGAACTGTTGCCCAATTCAACAGAGCCAGCATTCCAACTTTGTTAAACCTACCAACATCTTAAATGGACTTTCTGTGGTGGTACCCTTTAAGAGGCGGATGAAAGCTACTACATCAGTTTGCACATTCTAATCACTTTCCAGTATCACAAGAGAGATTTTTACTTATATAATAGCCCTAATGTGCATCTGGTAAAACCAGAAGCTACAATCCAGTATTACTGCTAAGAGACATTTTCATCCACCAAAGTTGTACATGTATGAAAATGGTGTACTGTATACTATAACACGCCCCATACTTTGTTTTGGAGAGTTCAATAATGTAAATCCTAAAAGCACCACTATTTTAGCATAATAAAAGAAAAAACAAAGGAAAAAACAAAAAAGAAAAAAGGGAAAAAAAACACAGAAATTAAGGCAGGCCCCAAGGGAAGTGAATAACAACCATAGAGAAGTCTCTTGACACCGTTCCTTGTAGGCAGCAGTAAAGCAATCCTCAAGGACCAGGAAGAACAGGGTTTACTTCCTGGAAGGCTGTGCTTATAACGCCTCCCTCCTTCAGCAGACACAATCTAGGATCCTTATCAGAACCATTTCCCCTCTTTTCTCCACTCCAATTATTGCCAAGAAGACTATCTCTTCTCTCTATGAAAGCAAAAGAGAAATTTTTGAGAAGTTTCAGTTTAGAATTGCCTTTGCTGATCCAGGTAATAAGGTTATGTAGTGTTTAGAAGAGTAAAAAATATAATCTACTAGTCTTTACTGATAGTTCTCTTTGAATTTGCTATGGTCATAAACATATAACCAATATTTCTTAAGCATGGGTCAGGCAATTATCAAGGTACTTACACAGATACTTACCTCATTTAGTAATCTTTATAACAGCCCTTCGAAGAAGACATAATTATGCCCATTTTATAGCTTAGAAATCTGAGTATTAATTTTCTATAACTAGTTTTTTTTAATCTCTTGACTTTAAATTCAGTGCTTTTCCTATTATATCCAGCTGCATACCAGTCATCCTAATCTTGAAAATTATCCTTACTCTTAAGTATTTTCCAGAAATAGATTTCCCAGGGTTACAGATGTGGCAGTCTTCACACAAACAAGTTAAAGGAAAGAATTGAATTGTCATCAGATATCTCTGGACTGGCTGTGGAGATAGGGCCAACAAATAAATATACCAAGATTTCTGCTGTACTGAACTTTGAGGGAAAATTAAATTATCAGGGAATGTCTTCCTCACAATGACATAATCTACTTCAACCTTTCTGGAGTTAACTAATTTAACAAGTAAACCATAAAAAGGTGATTATAGTTAATTGACTCTACTGGTGTGCGCAGCACCCTCTGCAGTCAATGAAGGATGATGACTTAACCAGCCTAAGGTGAGTAACAATACAGTCTGGTTAAATATATTAGATTGAGCATAAAATGGTGATGGCCATTCCTGTATTCTAAAATACCTCCCTGATTTCTTAAACAGCTTTGTAAGACTTTCTGACAGAGTTGTTCTGAGAGGGAACGGCTTTACTCAAAAGTCTAACACTATCATTTGTTTTGGGTTGGTTTGGTTTTGTTTTGTCTTCATTTTTAAGGCAAACTCTGCTGCTGAGTAGAAATGGAGGGTACAGAGGTAAGTAGAGGCGAGGAGCTCTGTTAGGATGCTTCCACAGAAGTCCAAGGAAGAAAGGATGATAATTTGAACTTGGGAGATGACAGTGAAGACAAAGCAAAGAGAATTGTATGTCATATTTTAGAAACAAAAGCATCTTGCTTGTGAGTTGGATGTGAGGGGTAAAAGAAAAAAAGATATGTAACATTAAAATAGACTAGAGCGGGAAAATAAGTCCTTGAACATTGAACATTAACTAAACTATTCAAAGTGCTAAAAAAATAAATAAATTAATTAATTAATTAATTTAAAAAAAACTTTTTTTGAGATGATGGACAAAGTGATTATCACACAAAATAACCATTTAGAAACACCCTGCAGAACACTTTGATTAAAGATGCCCCAACCAGCCCTCACTGGTTTGGCTCAGTGAATAAAATCCCTGCGTGCAGACTGAAGGGTCCCAGAATCAATTCCGGTCAAGGAGACATGCTCAGGTTGCTGGTTTGATCCCCACTATGGACAATCCAGGAGGCAGCTAATTAATAATTCTCTCTCATTATTGATGTTTCTATCTCTCTCTCCCTCTCCCTTCCTCTTTGAAATCAATAAAAATATATTCTTTTAAGAAAGAAAGATGCCCAACCACAATTACTAACAAATTATTTTGACCTATTGGAGACTAAATGACTTTCTTCTGAGTTGGTGGTAAACCTATAGGCCTAAAAGGGACTTTTTTTAACATTGTGAAATTTAAAGTACATACATGACAGTCACATGTTACAGAAAATTTTCTTTTGAGTCACTCCTACAATTCATTAGCAGTTGATGTATTCTTATGGCCTCAACATTCAAAAACTGAGGCATTTGGGAAAATGGTTACCCCAGAAAAGATCATATACTGAATATTTTCATCCTTAATGAGGCTAATGTAAAATAAAGGAAATATTTATTAAATATTTTATGTCTGGTTTAAGTTCACTTTCAAAAAAGATAACTATTTGCTATCTGAAACTTAATCTCAGTCCATAGTCACATATCCTTAAAATGGAAAAAAGAGGAAAGGGCATTTAGAAAGTGTAAATTTGTGGTACAAGAACCAAAACCAGTTCATCTCACAGCTAAGCCACTAAAAGATCCAAGGCAATATAAGTTAATACATAGACTAGCAGGATCATGGTAAATTTTATTGACCACATGAGTTACCCGTGTCATAGAAATATAAAATCCAAAACTAGATCTGGCTCAGAGAGGGAAGCTTTTGTACATATTTTATAAGTTCCAAAATATTCTTCATTTTTCTGGTCCCCTGTCACAGATTTTCTTGCTCTCCAAAAACAAACAAAAAAGTACATTATAGACAACTAGCTCTCCCTTGCTACCTTCTGCCATTTATCCAGGGAGGTCTTACTGTTTTTGACTATTCCAAAGAGACCACCGGCAGACTCCTTGGATAGCTATGCCAATACTTGAAAATAACTTATTACTGATTAATTGATGTTATATTGGAGATAATGGAAAATAAGTTATTTTTCATGTTTCTATTTACAGATGCTATAGTAACCAAAACCAAGTCTAGATGCAGAATTATTTAGCAAAGGTTGGGGTAGGGTTTTTTTTACTCAGAAAAACATAAAGTCATTATGCAAATATATAACCATCCAAAGTCATTCTGCCTTGAGGTGTTCCCAAGAAGTGATTAGGAGAGAGAGCAAAAAAAATTTAAAGTTTTCTCTTCCTTACAAGTTTCCTGCTACATGTATCTTAACATTAGATCCATAACATCAGGTTTCACAGTTTATATGGAATTCTCAGCATCATATTTCTGACCTAGACAATCAGAAATCTATTTCAGCAAGACCAGATTAGTGCTAGTCTACCCAGGATAAACCAAGACAGTATTTCAGGTTTAGGAAAAGATAGTAACTATTCATACATAAATGTTTATTTTATTCCCCACGGTGGTGTCATGTATGTATATACAGTCATTCAATGATTTGACAATTTTTTTTTTACAGCTCACAAACCCATGAAAATTTCAACAACTCCAGCACCATCACTGGCTTCATCCTCCTGGGCTTCCCTGGCCCCAGGGATGGGCAGGTCCTCCTCTTTGTAATCTTCTTTGTTGTCTTCCTCCTGACCCTCATGGGCAATGGTTCAATCATCTGTGCTGTGCACTGGGATCAGAGACTTCACACCCCCATGTACATCCTGCTCGCCAACTTCTCCTTCCTGGAGATCTGGTATGTCACCTCCACCATCCCCAACATGTTAGCTAATTTTCTCTCTGACACCAAGGTCATCTCCTTCTCTGGGTGCTTTCTCCAGTTCTATTTTTTCTTCTCCTTGGGTTCTACAGAATGCTTTTTCTTGGCTGTTATGGCATTTGATCGATACCTTGCCATCTGCCAGCCTCTACACTACCCAACCATTATGACTGGACGTGTCTGTACCAATCTTGTGGTCAGCTGCTGGGTACTTGGTTTCCTCTGGTTCTTGATTCCTATCACAGTTATTTCCCAAATGTCCTTCTGTGGCTCCAGGGTCATTGACCACTTCCTGTGTGACCCAGGTCCTCTGTTGGCCCTCACCTGTACCAGACACCCTGCAATAGAGTTAACTAGCTCCACCTTAAGTTCTCTGCTCTTATTTATTCCCTTTATTTGTATCATGGTGTCCTATTCTCTGGTTCTACAAGCTGTGTTGAGGGTTCCCTCAGCAGCTGGACGAAGAAAGGCTTTCTCTACCTGTGGATCCCATCTGGCTGTGGTTTCTGTTTTCTATGGCTCCGTGATGGTCATGTATATAAGCCCAACATCAGAACATAAAGCTGGAATGCAGAAGATAACTACTTTACTTTATTCTGTAGTTACTCCACTCATTAACCCGGTAATATATAGCTTGAGGAACAAAGATATGAAACATGCAATAAAGAAATTATTTGGGATAGAAACAGGGGCATGGATACATGAAACAGTCTGACAGCTGTCAGAGGGAAGGTTGGGAAGACTGAATGAAAGAAGATGAAGGGATTAGACAAAGAACATACAACTCATAGACACAGATAGCAGTGAGTTGATGCAAGAGGGAAAGGGGGACTAGGAGGAAGAGGTAAAGGGGAGGAATGGAGATATCTGTAATAGTGTCCATAATAAAAATAAAGAAAAAGAATTATTGGGGACATAAAAGTAAGAGTCTTGATTTAAAATATTTTGGGGAACATAATCTGTTTTTAATATCTTAATTAAAAAAGACTAACTGGCCCTGACCAGTTTAGCTCAGTGAATAGAGCATCGGCCTGTGAACTGAAAGGTCCTAGGCTCAGTTCCAGTCAAGGGTATATACCTTGGTTGAGGGCACATCCCCACTAGGGGGTGTGCAGGAGGCAGCTGAACAATGTTTCTCTCTCATCAATGTTTCTAACTCTCTATCCCTCTCCCTTCCTCTCTATAAAAAATCAGTAAAATATATTTTAAAATAAATAAATAAATACATAAGACTAACTGCCATCACTCAGAAAATTGTTCATTACTTTGGGCAATGAGCACAGGATGCAGTGTGCAGATGATGTTTTGTTGAAACCCATATGGCTTTGTGAACTGATGTCACTCCAATAAAATCAATAAAAAGAAAAAAATTTTAAGAAATATTTTTAAAAGAAAATTGTTCGTGGGGTTTTTTGTAGTTGTTCTTTTGTTTTGTTTTGTTTTGTTTTGTTTTGTTTGTTTGTGTGTGTGTGTGTGTGTGTGTGTGTGTGTGTGTTTATTTCCAAGAATTTATAGGGCTATAAGGAATTTCAAAGATGTACTCCATCTCCCTAATTTTATAAATGATAGAACATACATTGAAAAACTGAGTTGAGTTTGTTAGGAAAATGTAGTTAAAAATAAATCTCCTACCAGCGCAGAAAAACCTCTCCACATAGATAGAAAATAATAAAATAGTTTTATTATAATATAAATAAGCATGAAAGCAATGGAATATGTACATCACAGGCAATCTACTAAGAGATGGCAAAGACAGAAAGAAAGCTGATCTTTTTATATAGTCAGGCAAATACATCCAATACATACATGGTCTCAAGATAAACAGTAATTGGTCCTCGAAAGACTTGACTGCATCATTTATCAGGCAGAGTTAATCCTAGGTTCACCTGGTAATTGGCTTATACAAAGGAAAAATAAGCCAAAACCAGTTTGGCTCAATGGATAGAGCATCGGCTTGGGGCTGAAGGGTCCCAGGTTTGATTCTGGTCAAGGGCATGTGCCTTGGTTGTGGGCATATCCCTAGTAGGGGGTGTGCAAGAGGCAGCTGATCAATGACTCTCTCTCATCGATGTTTCTAACTCTCTATCTCTCTCCCTTCCTCTCTGTACAAAATCAATAAAATATATATTTTTTAAAAAGGAAAAATAAACACATCTGAATGGACAAAGGGTAGTTTTGCAACTTGGAAGTTAGGGCACCAAAGTTAGACTCCTACCCTCCATAGGAACTGGGACACTGGGAGAAACCAAGATGGCGGCATAAGGTAAACACCTAAATGTAGCCTACCATAACAATTTTAAAATTATAATTGGAAAACAGAGCAAACATCATCCAGAACCACCAGGAGGCTGGCTGAGTGAACGCTCTACCAACTAGGAAAGGAAGAGAAAAGACGCTGAGCCTCAGGAACTGTGGAGGTGCAGAGATCTGTGCATGCAGAGAGGGCGGCCAGCTGAATATGCTGCTGGCTTACTCGCGGCACACACAGAGAGGGCAGGCAGCTAACGGGAGGCAAGCTTTCTTGTTCAGGAGGGAAACAAAACCTCCTTACTGCACTGATAGCCAGCTCCAGTCAGAAAGAAATTGGACTGTCAGGCAGTGGGAAAAACTCTCTCAGAGGTGCACGTGGCCAGCAGCCATAACTGCAGGACTTGGTGAACAGGACCCTCGTAGGGCAGGGCTGATGGGAACCAAAGCTTGTCTGCGCCACCCCGAAACTCCGCCCCATCCAAGTGGAGCACATAGCCCTTCCAGTGGCTAGCTTTCTCATTCTGGAGAAAAACAAAACCTCCCAATGACACTGATAGCCAGCACTGGTCTGGGAAGAAACTGAATGTCAGGAAGCAGGCAAAACCAGAGAACAATCTTCTCCCAAGAGGTGCACTCGGTCAGCAGCCTTGTTGCGGGACTCGGCGCACAGGACCCTCTAGGGTGGGGCTGACAGGAACCAAAGCTTGTCTGCACCACCCCGAGATTCTGCCCCATCCAAGCTGCGGACAGAAGCCCTCCTAGCTGAGACACTGCTGATCCTCACAGCCAATTGGCTTGGAAATCATCTCTCCCCGGTGATACCAACAACAAGCAAGGCTTATCAACAAGACTTCAAACACAGCCCATAAAGGGCTGCACCAAGTCTGTCCATCTCAGGTAATTGGGGAGGCTGAGCTAGTGGGCCCTGCTAGGACACCTAGCACTCAAAGTCACTCCATCATCCCAGGAAAGCAGCAAAACTGCAGAGACAAAGAGGCAGGCTACAAATGAAGGAAATGGAGGAAAGCAAAAGAATGGATATAGAGTTCAAAAACTACAGTTATAAGGTTTTTCTTTTTTTTTCTTTTTTAAAATATATTTTTATTGATATTTTTACAGAGGAAGAGAGAGGGATAGAGAGTCAGAAACATTAATAAGAGATAATCATGGATCAGCTGCCTCTTGCACACTCCCCACTGGGGATGTGCTCACAACCAAGGTACATGCCCTTGACAAGAATCGAACCTGGGACCCCTCAGTCCGCAGGCCGACTCTCTATCCACTGAGCCAAGTCGGTTTTGGCGGTTTTTCAATAATTTCCTAGAAAAGGCTGATAAATTAAAAGAGACCTATGAGGATATGAAAAGGGATCAACTAGAAATGAAGCATACACTGACTGCAATAAAAAATATTATACAGAGACCTAAAAACAGACCAGAAGATCGCAAGAATCAAGTCAAAGATTTGGAATACAAAGAAGCAAAGGACACTCCTCCACAGAGGGAAGAAGAGAAGAGAATCCAGAAAGTTGAAGATAGTGTAAGAAGCCTCTGGGACAACTTCAAGCATATCAACATCAGACTTATGGAGGTCCCAGAAGAAGAGAGAGAGCAAGATACTGAAAAACCTATTGGAAGGAATAATGACAGAAAACTTCCTCTACCTGGTGAAAGAAATAGACTTACAAGTCTAGGAAGTGCATAGAACCCCAAACAAAAGGAATCCAAAGAGGACCACACCAAGACAAATCATAATTAAAATTCCAAGAGCAAAAGACAAAGAGAAAATATTAAAAGCAGCAAGAGAAAAGCAGTTAGTTACCTATAAGGGAGCACCTATACGACTGTCAGCTGATTTCTCAATAGAAACTATGTAGGCCAGATGGGAATGGCAAGAAATATTCAAAGTGATGAATAGCAAAACCTGCAACCAAGATTACTCTACCCAGCAAAGCTATCACTCAGAATTGAAGGCCAGATAAAGAGCTTCACAAGTAAAAAAAAGCTAAAGGAGTTCATCACTGCAAAACCAGGATTATATGAAATGCTGAAAAGTATTCTTTAAGAAGAGGAAGAAGAAAAAGATAAAAATTATGAACAACAAATATGTAACTATCGACAAGTGAATCTAAAAACCAAGGGAATTAAAATATCTGATGAACAGTATTAACTGGTGAATATACTAGAATCAGAGGTATAGAAAGGGAGTAGACTGATGATTCTCAGAGAAAAGAGGAGTGGGGGTGCAGGAAGAGACTGAACAAAAATTGTACACCTGTGGATGAGGACAGAAGGGGGTGGGGGAGGAGGGGAACAATGGAGGGGGAAAAAGAGGAACAACTGTAATAATTTGAACAATAAAGATTTATTTAAAAAGAAGAAGAAGAAGAAGAAGAAGAAGAAGAAGAAGAAGAAGAAGAAGAAGAAAAGAAAGTTCTCCTGAAAGGGAGCTAATATCCAACTGCATAGGACAATTCCTGTGGAACTGGTTCTCTCTTTGTGTTCATGAAAAACGTTTCTTTCACACTGTATGTGTGAAACACTTGGGCCCTCACTGGGGCCCAAGTGTTTCACACATACAGTGTCTAGCACATAGATGAGACTTAATGTTAAATGAAGGGAAATATATTTAAAAATCCACATCGAAAAATATTCTTCTTCCTTAACAATTTCCTGACATAATGTCACTACCTCCCATGTTTTATTTCTGCCATTCTTTTCTGATAAGCATGAGGGAGTGCCTGCGGGGACTACAGGATATGGGATTAAATCCTGGCCTTGTTTTGAATAATAATGTTCACTTGAAAGTGCTGGGTCTCAATTTCTTCTGTAAAATCTATAAACTGGGGATTGTTTTGGACATTTAAATAAATACCTCTCTTGAAAAGGGGTTGGACATATGATAAGTGCTTGTCAAATGTTAACTATCATTACAATACTCTTCATCAAACTAGGATTGTGGTATACCTCTTTGTGGTTCTCAACTTTGAATGTGATAGTTGTGCTTTAAGCATTGTTGTTGAGGAAAAGGCAAATCTGGAAAATCCTGCCATAAGAGAGAAAACCATGGGGGGGGGGGTGCCGGGGGAAGCACACTGGTGAAACCCTGTGTTTCTGAGCTGGGATGGATGAATTGGTTAGTATTTAACTTAAGATGAAGGAGAGGGGTGATGTTTCCTTGAGTCCCCATTTCAGACACACAGTCATAGCTCTTTATTGAGAGTAGGACCTGGGCAAGGTGCAGGCAAAAACTAACATGTAGACAGAGAAGAAGAATTTAGTTACAAAAATGGTCAACAATGAAGGTGTAACTAAATCCAGAGAGCAATATATCAATGAGTCAGCTTCAGACCTGGTGAAACCCCGCAGCTAATGACACTGGCCTGCTTGCACTAGCAAATTCCCACTGCACTTCCCTTGGGAATGGAGAGCTCCAAGATGCAATGAATGGAAACCCAAGTCTGGAGAAATTATTTTAAATCCTTGCCTTCTTCGTGGGTTCCAGCATGGTGGAACTCTCAGTGTGATTGGTCCATTGTATCCAGGTAACTGTGGAATGTGTTCTGATTGGCTGGCAGCAGCCAGGAGCCCAGACTTCAGTTGAGAAGCAACTGTGGAAGGAGAAGGAGCTTTGGCTGTGCTCTCTTCCCACTGTGGTTGTAGCTCTCAGCGCTTGTCTGATCCCTGTCCGTTTTCAACAAGTCGTGTTGGTTGCTGTCCTCACAAGAGTCAACCAAAGAGGTGCAGCTTCGGGGGGGCGGGGGGCGGCTGGGCCCTGAGCCCCACCTGGGGCCTGGCATCCCAGAGGCTGAGCAAACAGTGAGTGATATCTACCTGCTTGTGCGGTGAAGCCTTGGGGCTGCCTGCAGGCCTAAGGGAGGGACTGCTGAGGGCTGTGGGGTGGGGGGAGGAGAGTGGGGTGTGAGTGAACCAACAGTAGCAGAGAGGAGTGGAGGTGAGCCATGGGAAACACGCTGACTTGCTGCCTGAGGCCCAGTCCCAGTCCCAGGGCCAGCCCCAAGCTGAGTGGGAGCTCCAAGCAAGTTAAGTTAAAGTGTGAGTCTATGGTTCATGGAGAGACTTCTGAGGACACAGGGACAGTGGAAACAATGCCTGCTACCCCCGAGTCTGAGAAGATGGAGTCTGGGAGGTTAAATTCCTTAGCCCTCAGGGGCTACAACCGGCAGAACATCAGCGACCCAGTGATGGACCAAGGTAAGAAGCAGCAAATGCCATCTGCTCTTTGGTGTCCCTCTTGTCTCCACTGTCCCCAGAGTCCCCTGGGAGGGACTCCCTGCCTTGGGTTCCTTCCAGCTGGAGCCAGCTTTCCTAGGGAATGGGCACCTGCTCTTCCCACCCCTGTTTCTTCCCCTCTTGTGTCCAGATGTTTTTCCCTCTTTACTACCTAAGCAGCAAGGTAGGATATTGTCACTCCTGCTTGTCTGCTTACTTTCCTCAATGCTTTGTTCAATTGAGTTTACTTGCTGGAAAAGCCACACGTGGCCAGGTGTTTCAGTTGATTATGACAGCAGAAGTACAAGGAATGAGGGTTGCATTATATTTGAAGGAGTGCAGCACAATAAAGCATGGGGTGTCCTATCCACGTGTTCATGAGGTGTGTGTGTATTTTTCTTGTTTTAAGCTGATCGCTTGTGGTTAGGATCACTGTATTTCTCAGTTTCTTCCAGAGCCCTGGGTGACTCACAGTAGAGTGGAGACAGTAAAGGAAAAGCTACACCATGGCCCTCTCTTCTCTCATAAGGGACTGTTTCTGTGCTGCCCATCCCAGACCATAGGGAGCAGTGTGGGAAACGGTACAGCCCAAGACCCTATTCACAGCCTTTATTCTTCTTCCAGCCTTTGTGAGAGCAAAATGATATTGTGTGCTGTAGACATAGACAATTAGGTTAGCATAATTGTTTTATTTTTTAGATATTTTTAAAAGAATGGTTTATTGATTTTTGAAGAGAGATAGAGGGACAGCAAGAGAGAAACATTGATGAGAGAGTAACATCGATCTGTAGCATTTTGCACACTTCCTCCTACCAGGGATCAAGCCCAAAACACAGGCATGTTCCCTTGACCAGGAAATGGAATGGGCAATCTTTTAGTGCATGGGATGATGCCCAAAAAACAGAGCAACACCAGCCTGGGTCAAGTTAGCACACTTTTTTTTTTTTTTTTTTTTTTTAGAAAGAGAGTGGAAGAGAGAGATGGACAGAAACACCAAGGTGAGAGAAACGCAGGATGCAGGCCAATGCTCTATCCACTGAGCCAGTCCGGCTAGGGCAGCACACTCATTTTAAAATATACATTCGAATAGGTTACTTTCCAATTGAGCAAAGACCCATTGATTTTTAGTGAGGTGTTTTATTATAGTTGATTACAAATAAGTGATTCAGAACATTTCCAGGGAAGCTCATGAGCCTGGAGACTAGTGTCTGGCCAGAAACTGGTTCTCAGAGTGTCAACTGTTAAATCCTGGTGGTTCAAGTGAGGTGGGTATAACTGTACAACCAGACGCCACTACTGGGTAGAGGTTCAGATATGCAACAGCTACACTTTTTCATTAGCTAAGTTTCTCACCTGGTCTAATTTGCTTTGCCTTTTCTTCTGTACATGGAGAGTCTCATTTCTACCTAATATAGGTGATACGTTAGGTCAAAAAGTAAAAAAAAAAAAATCTGTTTTTAGATTTTACTTTAGGTGGCTCATCTTTCCAGGTATTTCAAATTGTAAATTTTGTTTGAAATTATTGAAAATGGAATAACATTTTGCCTCATTTTGTATGCTGTAGTCTGTTAGATAATCAGCTACTGTTATTTTTCTGTGGCATTTGTATCAGAACTGATCAGTTAACTTTTTTTTATTCTTAGAACAAGACGTGGAGAACAATGATGTAAGTAAACAGTTGAAATGTTAAGTAAGAAATCCTTAGTTTGGCCGAAGCCGGTTTGGCTCAGTGGTAGAGCATCGGTCTGCTGACTGAAAGGTCCCGGGTTCGATATGTACCTTGGTTGCGGGCACATCCCCGGTGCGGGGTGTGCAGGAGGCAGCTGGTCGATGTTTCTCTCTCGTCGATGTTTCTAGCTCTCTATCTCTCTCCCTTCCTCTCTGTAAAAAATCAATAAAATATATATTTTTTTTAAAAGAAATCCTTAGTTTGATATAAAAGTAGTCTGTCATGATTTCTAAAAAAATTAGCATGAGCATCTTTTTGTAGGTTTTCTCAATATTGATTATTCTAGCTTGAAGGAGAATTTATTACTCCAAATGCTGAAACTTTGCACAAATATACCATTTTGAACTTCAGATTAATAAGGGAAAGGTGGCTTTGCAGTGAAACTATTGAAACAAGCAAAATGGTGTTTTATACAATATATACGGATCTTTCTGATTATTGGTTACTGGCAATGTTAAAATGCTCTGTATTTTAAAAAGCATCAAGTAGATTATTTCCCAGCCTCACATCTTGTACATTTGTGGGGAGTGCTGATGGGAAAATATGACAGCATGAACAAAACTACTTTCTATGAAATGAGGAAGGCTGGCGCATCTGAATTAGTTTTAAAAAAACAACAAAACCAAGCACGTTAAAGTTATTGGTGTTTTCTGATATTTAAAAACAAGACTATTTAAATTATTTACAGTGATTAGTCATAGGCATGAATTTCAGGAAGAGGATTGTCAAAACATAGTTCCAGCTCTGTCAGTATTTGATTATTGCTGAATTGTTGGGCTCTTGACAAATCAATGGGTACTTCTCCAATAAATGGATACTTCTAAAGCACATGTGTCAAACACAAGGCCCGCGGGCCAAATCCGTCCCGCCAGGCCTTGCAATGTGGCCCGCACCGCGCTGTCATCACTGCACTCCGCTGCGTTTCCATCACAATGACAGTTTATGACTGTTCAGTAAACCATTCGGCCCGCGATTTAGGCTGGATTTTAGATTTTGGCCCCTTCTCTGATTGAGTTCGACACCCCTATTCTAAAGTGTGGTAAGGATAGTTTGTTCTCCAAAGGTCCTCAGACCTTTCCTCGTCACCTCTCCAGTACCACAGCAGATGAATTCTACGTTGTATCTGCAGTGAGATGTACGCCCAGATGTAAACGATGTAAAGAACTTGCCAAGCACTCACACTGCCGCTTTGTCCCAGGTTCTGTGCTCAGTCGCTAGAGGCAGGAGAGGAGTCAGAGTCCTCCCTTCCCTGGAGAAGCTTAGTTTCTATGGGAGAGACACCCTGTCAGCAGCTGATGCCATGTGACAAGGGGCCACTCAGCTGTGGGAGTGTGCAGGGGAGAAGTTGGGTGGTGCGGCTGCTGGTGAGGGTATCCTGGAGGTAGACGGGGAGGAGGGAAGCTTGCTGGACAAGGAAGAAGCCTTGTCAGCAGAGAGCACAGCCTGAGTGAGGCAGTTGGAGGTGAGTGTCAGATGGCCAAGGGAACAGAACTAACATTTAGAAATGAATGGAAACTACTCTCTGAGGTTCTCACTTGAGTAGTGTAATGATAGTCTTCCTTAAACGTGAAGTGTGAGTTGACTTCTGAAAGTTGTTTTATCTGTTTTTTGGGAAAGTGAGGCTCAGAGAGACCTGTGGCCTCCAGCTTTTTGGCAAATGGGCAGCCCTGGCACATGCACACTTCTGACCAAACATGCTTGTTTGTCTCTCTGTCTCCTGAACTTATGATTGGCTTTCATTTACTGCAATGAAGTGGTCTTGATTTATCATTATATAATGCATTGCATTTAATTATAGTAAACAAATGGTAGAAATATAAAATCTCAGCTGCTTTTCATCACTTAAGAAAAACAACAACAACATTAGAAGTCTAATTCTAATCATTTTACACTATTATAATGGGGGTTTATAACAGAGATTTGCCAGGTTTGATTATAGGTACTTATCAAAGGCAGCATTTTATAAGCCATTCCTCACATCTCCCCTGTGGAAGGTAGACTATATACTGGACTCACCATAGGGCCTCACATGATACCACACTCAAGCAGTTCATGGACTGTAAGAAATGCTTACTTGTTTGACATTTTAACCAAGAGGAAAAAAACACACTATTATAGGTTGAACAGACGTACTGTGACATTTTCTTGTCTTTCCCTCTTCGGTAGGACTTTCCAGGGCACCTTATGAAGCGCCATAGGTCTTTCCCCACGGTCTTTCTCTATGATAACACAGTGAGCCAGCCGGATTTCAGCTTCATCCTCCAAGCGTGAGTACAACCAGGATGCCACAGGCTGAGTGACAGACCACTTTATTCTTAGAGTGAATGGAAGAAGGGAAAGGCAGTTAGCAAATAAGAAATCCCCCCAAAAGCACTGACATTTCCTGATGCATTTCTGTTTTTAAGACATTGTTGACCATAATAAAAAAGGAGAGCTGCTTTTTGTGGGGTGTTTCTGTTAAAAAGTTTTTCTTTTGGTAAGAAGAGAAGCTTGAGGCACCATTTTCCTCTTGATTTGGAAGATCTATAAGATGAAAGTATTTCTTTATGAGACATGGGCACAGAACAGTGCACCACACTTTGGAAGCTACTCCTGGGAAAAGGAACAGCTTGCCCCCCAACTGGCAGCGGAGTGTATCGGCATTAAAAGTTAATTGGATTTTTAGCAGATTTTTCCCATCATACATTGTGTCTACACTATTTCTGTGTGGAAATTTACTTTTCCTACCCTCCAAAGTAGGATGTATCACATCAGTGTTAAAGAACAACTTTTCAAGATAATTCCTATGTGGGTAAAATTTATTCACCTGAATTTTTAGTAGATACATAAAATTTAATTATATATACATATAAATATACATATATATCTTCAAGACACTACATCAATCCATATATATAAAAATCACCAAGAAAAATTTTGAAATAGGTAATGTTTTGGAAACATAGCCATAGGCAGGTTTATACTTAAGCAACCATTAACAGTGTTATGCTGATGAAAAGTATTTATTAATTTCCCCATAGTCTACCATTGGAGATGAACTTTTAAAACATCCTAAGATGAAACTTGTAAGCTTGTTTAAGAGAGAAAATACATGTACTGATAAGCTTCCTGGCTCCCATAGGGGTTGTCCAAACACAGTATCAGTGTCTCTGGATTTTCCAGAGCATGTTTTGGGAAATGCTCCCTGACAGAATTAATATATTAACTTTAGTTGTATTTTTCAGCCTTAAACTCATAATTAGCTTTAAAATGTAATTTTTATAATGTACCACTTTTTTGCTACTTAAATTATTACTAACTTTTACTTTAATTAAAAATAGCAAGTTAACAAATTATAATACTCTTTCTTCTCACACTTATAACAAATTGTGTTTCAGCAAAAATTGAGCCCCATCTCTTTCTAAACTCCTGAGCTTTGGGACCTTTTGAGTAATCACTGAATGTTTTTATTCAGCCAAGACACTAAGTCCAAAAAAAAGAAAAACACTCAACTATGGTTGCATTCTGTAGCCTCTTTTGAATTCAAAATTCTCTGATGTTACAGAATAATTAAAAAGTAGTTTTAAAGGTTAGCCTTGCTCAGACAAGTAGGTTTCATGCTTCTTTCTCCAAATTAGTATAATTTTGGAAGTACAGTAAATTTCAATTTCCTCTTTTTACATTTTTTTAAAATGGTCATCAGTACATGCACTATTGGTGAAATAAGGGTTTACTGAGAAAATTAATAGAGCTAATTGAATGTTAGGAATGATTTTGAAAAATGTTCATCATGGTACGTTGTTCTCAATTGGGTGCAGTTTTTACTATCGATAGGATCACTTATGCAATTTATTTCAAAACAATGTCTCTAGGTACATGCATTTCACCACCCCTATCCCAACACTGTCTCAATGTCACAACCTTTGACAAGTCGAGGAAAACTGTGAGGCATGATCACCTGGGCAAAAGCATCCAGGGTGGATCTGCTCTTACCCTAAGTCCTTTGTTTCCAATTCTGGAGCACATTGCAGCTCCTGGGAGCTTTATAAACCGCCCGGGTCTTCCCAACGCCAGTGCAGGCTGCACATCTCTAGGTGGAGGGGGCAGTGTCTCCAGCTCCTCGGGGGACCCCAGGGAACAGCCAAGCTCGGGGCCTCTGCCTGGTTAGAGCGGAGGAGAGAGGGGCTCCTCGCTGTGGGCAGGACCTGGAGCAAGTCAGTTTCAGCCTCAGTTTCTTACATGTAAAATCGGCTGTTCGATTAAATGTCACCTAAGGTTCAGTGGTCCTTCTCTGCTTCTGTGGTTCGAATTCTGTGACTTTAAAGTCAGTTTGAAGATGAAGCTGTTCGAAGCCCAATAGAGGCATCCCTCTTGGGTGCTCCCAGTGTTACAGGCCTTTTTACAGCGACTCCTATTCCACAGACCCAGTTACGACATTCAGGTTTACCTTCTCTCAGGGAACTTGAGCTCCTTTTAGACACGGAGGGCAAAGGGAAGAAGCTTATCTCTTAACTACGAGGACCCCTTTGTTGCCTATGACACCACTCCTGTGAATGATCTAAAAATCCAGTCACTTCCACAGGATCTGAGGACTTGCATCTGATCATGAATATTTCATGTAATCTAATTAGGAAATAAGTGTTATTAATATTACACTGTGAAGCATTGTGCTGTGTTCTTGGCATTGCTTGTGTCAGGATAGCTAGACCTACGGATGTTGTGGGCTCTTACACTCGCCACTGGACTTCCTAATAATTATGTAAAAGTGATGTTAAACATTTTTTTAGTACAGAGCATTTTATTTACTTTTAGGAAAATAATGGAAAATGGGCAGGTAGGTGGATAGTGAACTAAGTCTCCTGAAACTCAGGGCCTAACGGCTTTTTTAAAAGCACAACAACTGTATGGCTTAAATTTAACCACGGGCACAAATACATATAACATGTACAGGAAGAAAGGTTCTGTATGGCTACAAGGGAAAGTGATGGGGGAGTGTGTATTAACACGTACAGGGTGGGGCCAAAGTAGGTGTACAGCTGCGACTATGTGAAACAGTTGATTCTTGTATTATTATATATTAGTTACTATATCATTTTCCATACAAACAACTGTATACCTGCTTTGACTCCACCCTGTATTATAATAATCAACCGACAGGTGCCTTCTAACAGCATGTTATCTAGCATTTTGGTTCACCTATTTGTGCTGTAAGCAAAATAGCTAAAAGTCCCTTTATATGATACAAATGAGAATGAGGATTTCAAGGCCACTGGGCAGCTGGGATGGTCTTCCCGCTCCCCTTGACCCATTAAAAATTGTCATCAAACCTAACATAATAAAATCAATTGTTACAATTTTTTTTTCTTCCACAGCGTGAGTATGGCCATATATAACAACATCAAGTACAGGTGAGTTGTAAAACCAGTATTGTTATTCTAGCTAATAAATGTACTAGAATAATATAGCAAGTTGAGTGTTATGTAGTAACTGTAGACATTTTTTGAGCAAGCTACAGAGTGCTTTTTATTATATGACTAGAGGCCTGGTGCATGAAAATTCGTGCACTAGGGGATATCCCTCAGTACGGCCTGTGCTTTCTCGCAGTCTGGGAGCCCTTTGGAGATATCCAACTGCTGTCTTAAGCCCCCTCCCCACAGGCCCAAGCTGCAGTCTGGTCTCTCTCTGCTGGAGGTGACCCCAGCAGGTCAATCTGGGGACAGCGAGCAGCTGGCCCTGCCCCAAATCACCCCCCTGTGGTTGCCAGTGGCCTCTCTCTGCAGGAGGTGACGGGGCAGGCGATCAGGGGATGGCGCTGCCACCCCCCACCCTATCTTCGTCCCCTGCCTCTGCCAGCTGGCACACACCTTGGTTGGCCTGACTCCACCTGCTCGCTGACTCCACCCCTGCCAACCAGTCATCCCACTGTTCAGTCAATTTGCATATTATGCTTATATAGGATTGAAGTGAATTATTTGTTTATGTCTGAAGACCCATAACGGTTGAGTTATTGAGGATCCCAAAGAGTACTTGTTTATGTAGGTTATATGGATATTCTACTGGAAATTAAAATTGAGATTTAAGAAGTAAGTTCAGCCAAAACCAGTTTGGCTCAATGGATAGAGCATCAACTTGGTGACTGAAAGGTCCCGGATTTGATTCCGGTCAAGGGCATGTACCTTGGTTGCGGGCATATCCCCAGTAGAGGGTGTGCAAGAGGCAGCTGATCAATGACTCTCTCTCATCAGTGTTTCTAACTCTCTATCTCTCTCCCTTCCTCTCTGTACAAAATCAATTTTATATATATATATATATATATATATATATATATATATATATATATATATAAAAGAAGTAAGTCCATTGTATGTTTAAAGAGTTTTTATAGCATTACTGAAATTCTGAGCTAGATAACCTTTGAGGTGGCAGATTGTCTTGCCCACAATAGGATATAATGCACAAAACAATATAAAAAAAAGAATTACATGTTTTACAAAATCTTGATTTTTTTTTTTTTTGGTTATATAGCTTGAATTGTGTCATTGAAGATAAATACCCAATTTATTTTTTCTTGAAGAGACAGGCTCCCTTTTTACTTTTGAGAGAATGGCAATTGTATTCTCAAAATAAGATGTAATTCTAAGGAAAAAGTGGCTTTTTCTGCTCACAACTAACACACAAGCGCTTTTCCTTAACACAACCAAATTTCAGTACTATGCAGAAGTGCTTCAAGCATACTCTCCCCCTAGTGAGAATGTGAAAACAGGATCAACATTTCATACTACTATTGCTTTTTGTCAAGAATATCCTAAAGTAAGGCAGAATTATTTTCCAAATGCAAGTGGCAGTAAAGAATACACTGACTGCCAGCACAGGGTGGTACCACGGCCTTCCTTCATGCTCACGAGCCAGTGTTGCTCCTCTTTGCTTTTATACAACATTGCAAAGTCAAAGTAGACTCAGGCAATGCCTTAATGTTCCTATAATGTTCGTGTTGGCTGCAGGGGCCTCCTGAAAGATGGGAACCGACCCCGGTGGCCTGCAGAGCTCACTGGTTCCAATGAGCAGAGTGTTTTAGTGCGGAGAACACTTCAGTCGAGAGATTGGTCACTTTTGAAGTAGAAAAGCACCTTTTTAATTCAACTTTTAACAGATTCAAAACAAATACACAATAATAATATAATACAAGAAAATGATAAGTGGAAAAACATGAATGTCACATCCACATGGATCAAAATTCTAAAGACATTCTTGCCCAACACTACAGTGTTATGTAGTAACTGTAGACATTTTTTGAGCAAGCTACAGAGTGCTTTTTATTATATGACTAGAGGCCTGGTGCATGAAAATTTGTGTCCCTGTTTATTCCAATGTGAGCTGGAGGGATGGAAATGTATTTGGTTTGCCAGCATTGCCTGTTAGGGAGAGTCAGTGTTTTAAAGGCAACTCCAGCTGCTCAGTGCAAAAAACATGGCACAGAATTTTTACTCAGTACTCAAACATGGTACTGAGTAAAAAGAGGCCAGGAAACCCTCTGACAGAGTCCAAGACAACGGTTTGTAAAACTGCTTTGTTGAAAGTTAAGATTCCCCCTGAACCCCCTCTCCTTCCTAGATGATGTGTTACTAAGATCCTAACATTCCCCGAATTAATTGTTAACTGCATATTCATGTTTTATAGACTTGGAGATAGATCCGCTGATATTTTCGATGAGAGAAAGCACCCCTTCAAAGTAAGTGTCATTTTTATTGAGGTTCTATTTGTCTCTCATACTGTGATGCTTATTTCATACTGATCTGCTTTGAAATGAATTATCAGAAGAAAATTACTCCCTCCTGCTTGAAGTCAAAGTCATCTTCTTTCCAGTCTTCTTAACCCACTGCTTGTTGTAGCTAATGATTTTACAAAAGGAGTCTTGTGTGATGGACACGTCAGTAAGAACTGAGCCACAGCTTTGGATTCAGAGAGCTAAAGTGGGTAAATGTGCCCCAAATATTATCTTTCTTAATGATGTTTTTAGGAGCATCAAATAATACAAATGTCTGTAAATAAACCTAAAAGATATGTTAAGACTTTTTGAAAAAATCTGAGACAATTTTTAAAATTTTAAACCATTTAAAATGACAAAAATTTCCAACTTCCCTCTGAGGCTCTGTAGGGACATGTAGCTGGTGCCCCCTGTGGAGCATGGCACAGCCAGAGTCTCGAGGTCAACAGGAGTGTGACCATGTGTTTTTAGAGCTGATTGCAGAGAAGAGTGACATGGGGACCAACATGCCTTGTGAGCCTAAACTAGTAGTTTACATTTAGGTAGACTCCTGTGGGGAGGGGGACATACATACCTGTATTCAGGTTGTCCCTGTATTTGTGTCCAGTAGCTGGTGAGTAGAGAATCAGTGTTGTTTAAGATCCACTGTTTATACTTCAAAGACTAAAAGACGTGTCACTCAATCAAAGTGATGTAGGCTCAGGTGGGCACAGTGCAAGCTGCTAGCATGTGAGTTCTTACCAATGTTCTTCCCTGGGCACTTATACTGCCTTTTCTCCTTCAGCACAAACTGAGCAGAAAAACCCACATGTCTCGTGATCCTGAACTGCACGTTATCTACAGATTCGTCTGCGACCTTTTCAGTGCTGAGCACCTCACTGCTGAGTGTGCGATTGTGACCTTGGTAAGACAGCTCTTCCACAGGCTGCTTGTCTGTCCTGTCACAGGCTGTGGTCTTGCTTTGCAAATCAAAATAGGTTCCTGAAATGACCCTCAGAACTTGACTAAGAGAAGCTATTAAAGGAAGTGTAAACCCCACACAGTGGGGCTAAATAATCGTCGGGATTGAAAATGTTACCATTGCTGTTTCCATCACAAACCATTTATATTGAAGACATAAGGGAAGATCTCTGTTTCTTCCCCCAATTTCCCCCCTACCCCACCCCCCAAACCACAGGAGACACAGGGGCATGCAGTGTGTACACACACACACACACACACACACACACACACACACACAGTGTGCTGGATGGGTAGGATGGGCGCAGTAACAAACCATCCGGCCTTGGGACAAGCTGACTGGGTGTAGGACTAAGCTGAGTCCCAGTCTGTATTCCCCGAGCAGTTCTCCTGTGCCTCCTGACTGGGAACTGGAGCCCTGGTTCTCTGTTCCTTCAGTGATGGGTGCTAACCCATTCCCCCTGTCGTCCGGGCCTGCCTCCCAGTCACCCAGAAGGAGAGCCAGTAACACCTGGGAAGGCTTTGCTAGCTGCCAGCTAAGCTACAGCTGCGTAAGGACTTTTGCGTCATCTGCACAGAATTCCTCTGTTAATGTTTTGCCATTGGAAATAGGTGCCATGCTAGTGAGACATGTCTCCCCACAGCCAACCTGAGGGGAAAGTCTGCTGCAGGGTCGGAGGGAAGGAACACTTAGGGCAGTGCCTCCCCATTGAGCATCCAGGTACTGCTCTGGAGAGGCCGCTTGTGCTTCTGAATGGAGACTTCAGTGGGCACCGGGTGAGACACAGGCCTTTTCATGGAGCTGCCCTCCCTCTGGAGAACCGAGCACCTGCAGGGGAAAGGCAGGAGCCGAGCTTCCGTGGGGAGAGCTGAGTCACACGGGAGGGAGAGCATCTGGGTTGGAAGAGGGGGAGTTTTTTGTGGACACATTAAGCTTTGCTCCTGGGATCCAGCGGAGAAGCAGAGTCTCTTAATTGTTTAAATAGAGGGAATTAGAGCGAGAATCTGAGCTAGAGGCGAGGAAGTAAAAGTGGCTCTTCAATTGCAGGAAAAGCATGAGAATAAAAAGTGGCGGGAGAGAGAACGATGGCAAAGAGCAGGCATCGCGTGGGTCCTGCTGGGCTGAGCACGCTCTGGGCAGCACTCAGCAGCTGGACCACACTCTCCTGGCCCTCCCTTGTCTGTGCTCCTCTCCTTGTTTTCCCAACCATCTAGCCACTTCCGGGGACGTGTCCCTTCCGTGCTCACAGTCCTTCCAGGTCTGCGTGAGGTTAGAAGAAAGAACGGGTAGGACAGAATTTATAAAGACAGAGCTTATGTTCTAGAGAGGAAGACATAGGTGGTTTTTTAATGAGTGCTTTCATAGAGATGAGCACGTCAGGTGGTATAAGCAGCAAGAAGACAAAGCAGGATGACATGGTAAGGTGGTCACAGGGGTTTATCTTTAGGCAGAAAGGTCAGAAGAGCCTCTTTAAAGAGGAAACATGGGAGCCATGCCTGGGCTGAGCTGAGGAGGATGAGGGGCTCTGGCGTTGTAGGCAGGGGGGCTAAGGCACACTTCTGAGATGGGCACAGGGTTTGTGTTCAAGGCACAGTGAGGAGGGGCCCGTGTGGTCAGAGTAGAATGAGGAAAAAAGCTGAGATCACAGACGGGCAGGATCCCATCTTACTGGGCCTGGAGGCTGGCAGGCTATGGGAAGAAGTCATGTTATATTTGATTGATGGGGAACCTTTGGCAGACCCTGAGTTGGGGGTGACGTGCTCTTAAGGAAAGAGGCTGTTCTGGCTCCTTGGGGAGAAGAGGCTGCTGTTGGAAGTCCGAGTGGAGGCAGTGAAGTGTGTCAGGCATAGTGACCAGGTGAGAAGTGGCCAGGGCACTGGGAGGCGGTCGGATTCCCATGGAGAAGGGGAGGCAGGAAGTGCTAACAGATTGGAGCCAGCTAGCTCAAGTGGAGGCTTTTGGTCCCAGCGACGAGGTAAGCGGCGGTGCCCTCTGTGCAATGAGGGCGGCTCGGGGAGAGGGCCGCCAGGATGAGGAGCTGTGGTGCGCATTGCGAAGGCTCCGATGCCCTTAGCAATGGCAGTGTCAGGGGAGGGATAGCGCCAGGGGCAGACTAAAGTGGGTGAAGGAGGGATGGGAGGTGAGAAGCAGCATCAGGCATTGGCCCTGAGCAAGGTGAGAGGAAGCATTCTAGAGACTTGCTGTGGCAGGAGGGTCCTGGACAAACACAGTCACACTGGGGGCATCTGGGCAGACGGGGAGGATTCTTCCAAAGGAGGCGAGAGTGGGAACAGTACTCTGCAGAAGGGGGCTGGGACCCACTTCACTGATGGGAGGTCCGCTTCGGGGAGAAGAGACATTTCAGTTCCACCACCACAGAGGGGTACGTGGGGTGAATGGCGAGTGATGGCACGTCCTGAGTCTGCCAGGAAAGGTGGTGGGAAGTCAGGAGGCTGTGGGTGTGGAACAAGGGCCTCTCATCATTTCCATTAAGCAGAGTTGATCTGTAAATAGCTCCTTAAGAAGCTGCGAAAGCTGAGTTTTGAGGATTGGGCACAGCCTTCCCCTGAGAACACATCCTGTTCAACAGGCGTTTGTTTTTGAAAACACAGTTGAGTTTGGCAAATCTCTGTTGTCAAGAACCTTCAGACAGTAAACATATTTTTAAATTGAACATTTTTCTTTGTGTCAAATGGCATATACGCTCTTCTGAAGCCGTGCTCTGAGGTAACAAGAAGTCACAGCTGAGCTCTATGGCCTCCTGGCTGCTGCCTCGCCCAGTGCTTTGGCGAGGAAATACTGAGTGCGTGTCAGAGGCATCAGGAGCCTCCCCCGCTGCCTGGCAGGGTGAGCGAAGCCCCAGGGACAGAGCCTGGCAGCTCTGTCACCCCCTTGAGACCAACAGCACCGAGGGCGCCTCAGCTTATGTGAGACAGAGCCGCTGGGCCCTCAGGGGCCCTGGGGATGTGAGCATGAGGGGCAGGAGGAGGACTGGCCTTTGTTCGCCGCGCTCCTCCCAGAGGCACTAAGACAGGAACCCGGGCAGGTGCACAGACCAGCCTGCAGCTCACCTGTGTGTACTGCCTTACCTGCTGCTCCACAGCAGCCACTGGCGGCGACCTGGGCACCAGTTTTTATCTCTAGCTTGTCCCACAAAAGGGCTAGTTACTGTGAAAAGAATGCAATGTTTCCGGCTTCACCAGGGATTTACATGTCCCAGAGTTATGTAAGATCACCGTACATATACGAGCCAGGTAGGACGGTGGCACCTGTAGCCACTCAAGTGTTTGTCGAACAACTTGGATCGATCCTGGGCCTTTATATGCCCCCTTCACAAGAGGGAAGGGAATAACAGCCCCATGCATTGCTTCAGGAAATCCTCTGCTAACATATCCATTCATTCTTGAACGTTCGCATGGACAAAGTGGGCAACAGAAGTGTCAGGTTTACAACTATGACTTGGCTTCTGGCTTTGGCTGGCCAAGCAGTGTCTGTAGAACCTAAGTATAAAAAATCTTTAACACTGGCCCATGTGGCTCAGGGGTTATCAGCCCTCTCAGTAGCAGGTCACAGGTTCCATTCCTGGGTGGCAGGTTCCATTTTCTCTCCAGGCAGGCAAGGGCGGTGGCAACCAATCGATGTGTCTGTCTCATATCAATGTTTTTCTCCCTCTGCTTATCTCTCTCTCTCTCCACCACCAACCCCCTCCCTTCCTTCCACTCTCTCTAAAAATCAATGGGAGGAAAAATAAAGTAAAATAAAAACCAATAGAAAAAAATATCCTCAGGTGAAGAGTAACAAAACGAACCAAAAAAAAAAAGGAATTTCAAAAATGGATTAAATCTGTCATTTCGAATCATTGTTATCATGGCACTTACGTGATCTACTTTTACAGATTTACCTGGAGAGGATTAAGCATTATATAAAAGCTTTCGATGTGTGTCCCACTAATTGGAAAAGACTGCTTTTGGCAGCTGCTATCGTTGCCTATGAGCTGTGGGACAAACAGGCTGTGTGGAGTGTGCCCTTCTGCCAGCTCGTCAATAACATCATTACATTCGACGACATGTGAGTTTGTAAGGTTTGGGTAAACCTCCTAACCCTTTTCCCATACCCCATGTGCCCCCATAAAGCTTACATATTAAGAAATATTTTTAAAGGTTGCATTGTGCAGAGAACTGAAATAGGCATAAAATGACATGCTTCTTTCTATCTACCTTTTGTATACACAATTCACATTCTGGTCATTAATTAGTAGGTCTTGATGTATTGTTGCAAAACGTGCATGGTAATTTGAAATGTGTTTCTCTGGTGTCTGTTGACAAACATTTCAAAAGCTAGCTACCAGAACAACAGTGCAGTAACTACCTTCGTGGCTTTCTTTCTTTCTTTTTTCATTGACTTCAGAGAGGAAGGGAGAGAGAGAGAGAGAGAGAGAGAGAGAGAGAGAGAGAGAGAGAGAGAGAGAGAGAGAGAGAGAGGGAGAGAGAAACATCAATGATGAGAATCATTGATTGATTGGCTGCCTCCTGCCCGCCCCCTACTGGAGGGGCATCAAGCCTGCAACCCAGTCATGTGCCCTCAGCCTGCATCAAACCTGAAACCCTTTAGTCCATAGTCCTACACGCTATCCACTGAGCCAAACAAGCTAGGGCCAAGGCTTTCTTAAAACCATCTCCCAGTTCCAGTCTGTTTTTAAGGGACAGACACTGGCTTTGAAATAGATGTTTGACGCTAAATCTTAGGGCCTCTAGACTATTGAAGGGTTACAGCTTAAAGCTGACCCACACATTGTATCCTGTGTCTGACCCACACATCTCACTGGTCTTTCCCTCCTTTTCATCTGAAGTTCCGTTGTTCAGAAAACCATGGGAGAAAACAGGGCCCCTATAAAAGTTTCAGACCTCTGTGCGCTCTCCTGCCCTTTTAAGAGAATTGCACGTGTTTACAAATAGGTCTGATGACTTTGGCAGCTCCTACCTCTCAGGCAGCAGAGAAGCCTCACTGGGCATCGCCCAGGGCGGCCATGGGAGAGTTTCCCGGGCACTGAGCAGCCACAGCTGTGCCTTGTGAGGACCCAGGGTAACCATGCGGGGGCCCCTCCGAGATGGCATGTGCATGAAAGTGAAACGCCAGCATCACGGAGGGCTTTCGGTCTGGCCACACTGGCTGCTGTGGGGGCTCTGGGGGTGGTCGGCGGGATGAGCCCAGAGGGATCTCAGCAGACTCGCAGAGCGCCCACCTGCTGACAGGGAGAGTGTCTCTGTGGGTGGCACTTAGGGTCAGGTGAAGGCACACCTCTCCACTCTGTGGAAGAGCTCAGGAAGGTCAAGATCCTCAGGGGCAGAGGCAAGAGCCTGGTTTTGGAGCCTTTGCTCAGGACTCTGGGTGAGGCTCCTGCAGAACCACCCAAGTGCACATGGACAGCTGCAGGGAGGCCGCTGGCGCCTCAGGGAAGGGACGGAGACGGCCAGCAGCTGGCAGAGTGGCTTTTGGTGAAAACGACCCTTTTGATAGCAGTGCCAACTGAGGAGTCACAGTGACCTTGCGGGCAGCCATCTTGACAGACAGTTGGACAGCAAGTGGTGACTGGCATAAATGGGAGCACTGTAGAAAAGTTGCAGAAACTGTCGTCAGTCTTCAAAGCGGGCCCTTGGAGGCAGGAAATTTTATATTCGTGCCCCCAATGATGGCAGCTGAACTTTTCTCAACACCCACAGCTCCTCTGCCTGGGCTCTGGTTAGAAGTACAGTTTCAGGAACTGCAGGGCGATGTGTGGGTTCTCACTCCTGGGAGCTCCCGGGCAGGGGGGGCGGGGCAGGGGCCAGGTTGGCTAGTTGTAAACAGTGCTTTCTGTGCATGAAGAGAGGCACGCGGGAGCTCTGTGGACAATAGGCTGCTTTTGTTAATGACCTTTGCAGGGTGGAAGGCATTATACCCATGTTTAGTGTACATTGGTTTTGTCCCCCTGCTGTTGGCTACCCTTTGGAATGGTCACATTTTACATCTAAATTGAAAATTCATGTCTACCAGCTTTTCTTAAAACTTCCCAACACCTATGTGTGTTTTTAGGTTATTATTTCCCTCAGAAGCACAAATAAAACGGAGCAGCTAGTATTCAGGAAATTTGACTGTAAATGATAGGCTGTTCAGCCAACTCACCATTAAAAAAAAATAAAAATAAGCCCTAACTGGTTTGGTTCAGTGGATAGAGCATCAGCCTGCAAACTGAAGGGTCCAGGGTTTGATTCCAGTCAAGGGCATGTGCCGGGTTGTGCTCTCGATCCCCAGTGGAGGGCATATGGAAGGCAGCTGATCAGTGATTCTCTCTCATCGTTGATGTTTCTCTCTCTCTCTCTCTCCCTCTCCCTTCCTCTCAGAAATCAATAAAATATGTTTTTAAATGAATAAGTAAATACAAATAAACAGAAGGTGTATATTCTATACTCATGCCTTTCCTCCATGGTTAAAGGTCTATTAATAGACCTCTCTTAATCCTAGGAAGGGGCTATATTTCTACACAATTAAAAGATAGTACTGGAGAAAATATAGAAGGGATAGTAAATTTTATGTATTTTAGTAGGAAATAAATCCTGATTAGCTGATTATCAAAACATGATCTGATTTATGTGTCTATAGACTTGTGGCCATAAGAATAGGAAAACAATTTTGGAAATAGGGTCTGTTGGGCTTAAAATTCAACAAATAAGAACATCTCCTATCGGCTCTTATTCTGACCACTCTCCATACAGGAGAACATCCACTTTCATCAACCTGTCCAGTGGGTAACATATTAAAGCCTTAAACTAAGAAAACAGGTTTGTTAGAATTTAAGCCTCTCTCAGGATTGTTCTGGTGTTTGTCATTTTTACAGAATTAACTCTATCACATGAGTGCTGTGCAAGTAGAACAATTTACTCTCATTTTATTTTTATTTACGCAGCAAGTGACAGGAGTCCATCACATCGCAAAGCACTGCTCCCAGATTTCCTTTTGCACTTTATTGACTCACCCCTGTGGGCAGGCTCCCCTTCAGCTCGGGCTGGGGAGGAGCTGCTGAGCAGGGCAGGAGGCAGCCCCACATGGGAGAAGAGGGTCGGAGTCTGACTCGGTGCCCATCAGAGGTCAGGTCCTAAAGGGGGCTTAGTCCAGCCAGGTCCTCTATCTTCCATGTTTCTGCTTTTCATAGTTTAAAAAGTGCAGCCTGTCCTGTCAGTAAGATAAGGTTTACAGAAACTTCCCTTTTGTCCTCTGCTGTTAGTTCCATGCACTGGGTAGGGGAGGGATTTCTTTTCCCATAAAATGTGGTTTATTTACTTATTTATTCTCGATGACTCCTTCTTGCCTCAAGAGTGCTGCCCCCTTAGGTAGTAGTGGTGGCTTCCTGTGGATCCACTGTTGCCCTGGTGATGTGCCCACTTCATTTCTTGGTCCCTGTAGACTTCCACAAGCCCCTTCCAGTGACGGGCCTGGGGGAAATGCCTGCAGGTTTTTTTAGGGCCAAGAAGCAGCACACATCATTCCTTTCCTCTGAACACGACAGCTCACCTGGTCAGTGAGCCAACAGCATGAATCCACAGCTGCACTCCAGGGACTCTGAGCCCCCCAGTCAGCAGCAGGAGAGCAAAAGAGGGGGTGGTGGGCGGTCACCTCTTCACAATTCTCCCAACTCCAAGTGCTGGGATGCAGGAAGGACCTCAAAGAGCTGCACCTTGCTTGATGGTTAGAGTCTTAGTACAGCTGGGTAACCTTGACTTGTTTCAAGACAAAATTCAGTCTCCTCCTCGTAGCTCAGAATGATACCTTTGAAGATAGCCCAGTTGACTAAAGTTGTTCTGTGTTGGTTTTGTCTCCTTCTCCTCCCCTAGGATTGAGATAGAAATGCATTTTTTAAATTACATTCATTTTGATACTGATGTTTCTGCCAGTCTCTATGCTAAATATTACTTTGACCTTCGATACTTAGTCCATGAAAACAACCCTCTTGTTCTAGTAAAAAGTTTTTGCAAAGAAATAATACAGAGCACAGAGGTAAGGCTGTGAAATCACTAAGTGGGGTTTTCTGTCAGTCACCTAAGCCAACATCTGTTGATAAATTCTGGGAAGCGATGATTAGGAAAATGGGAAGCTTTTTAAAGTTAACACATTAAGGTTCTTATTAACCCTATTGCTAGTGCTTTATGGTTTATACAGGGTCCCTCATTATTAAAAATTTCTAGATATCTTTTGTGACCATAATTCAGAATATTTTAAAATCACATTTAATATGTTAATGGTTTTCCATGTAACCCTCTACCCTTTCTTTTAACCATGTATTTATTACAATTGTATATCTAATCATATTGACAAACATAATCCACTTCCCACTCATAAATTAGTTTGCAAATTCACCTAAGAGTTCAGTCCCATGAGTTTATTAGACAGAATATTAGTGACTAGACTGAGGGACCTATATTTAGAAAGTATAGGGTGTGTTTCAAATCCTGGCTATAGAAAGTACATGGTGTTTTCATGGAAATGGTAAAGTGCATGGCATAAAGAAGTGATATTTGTGGCTTATGAATTCTAGTGAGAATACAACAAAATTACTCGCAAGTAAAATGGACACTTTTGACATGGACAGTGTCTGTGGTACCTTGGTGGAACTTTAGAATAAGATGTGTTTCTACAATAATCAACGTGCAAGAGAAATCAGTCTTTATGATGCTTCAGTCATTTGACCTTCCCTACTGTCCAGTAAAGTTCAGCACTCGCCCACTTCATTACAGTTTGCTTGAAGTAGATAGTAACTAATGAAGATTGGATAGAATTTGAATATCTCACAAAACACTGATTTTGCCCAAGTGTATGTTTAGTATGTTTAGGGAACAAATGTTCAGGCAACAGATGATATTGTTCCTTGGCATCATTGAGAACCCAGAATTTAAATAATTCTAAATTCCCTTGCTCTGGCAATCTAATTGTAGCCCTTAAGGGACTTCCCTTAGTGAATTTGCAGAAAGAGGCGTCCACAGAGCCTGGCTGTGTAGACCTCAGCTACCCAAAGGGGCAGGAACTATACTGTATGTAAAGGAGTGTGAATGGGTGACTATCAATGATGCTTTTATTAAAGGTTGAAACCCTTTTTTTAAATTGTATTTGGTTTCCTTTCCTAGGCTATTTCCAGAGGCTATCAAAAAAAAGACCTGAGCAGAGCCTCTATAAAAAGATCTCTTAGCGCTGACAATGTTATTGGCATGCAACACATCAAAGCCATGCTCACTAAAGAAAATGAGGGATTGTAACGTCAGGAGACCCTCATCTACAAAAACTACGGAAATAACACCTCTCCTCAAAAAGCAGTGGTAACAAGCATTTAAAGAAACAAAGTGGGGCCCTGCTTAGCTTGCCTCAGTGGCTAGAGCATCAGCCCACTCACCTGCGTTTGATTCCCAGCCAAGGATGTGTAACTGGGTTGCAGGTTTGATCCCTGGCCCCAGTTGGGGCCCATGTAGGAGGCAGCCAGTAGATGTCTCTCTCACATAGATGTTTCTCTCTCTCTCTCCCCCTCCCTCCTTCTTTCCCTCCCTCTTCCTACTCTCCCTCCTTCCTCCCATCTCTCCCTTCCACTTTTTCTATACATCATTGGAAAAAATATCCTAGAGTGAGGATTAGAAAAAAACACATAAACAAGAGGTTTCCCTCATATCATAGTGCAATTTTAAACTTTGATATTTTGTGCTTGGACATCCAAGGCACCCTGCAGAAGTATAAATGCTACAAATTTATAAAACATCATTTATAATTTATAAAAAGAAATCATTTATAATTTATAAAAACATCATTTATAATTTATAATTTATAATTAATAAAAAGAAAACTTTACAGGACAGATCCAAGATGACTGTGTAGGAAAATGTGGATTATCACCAACTCATAGAACTACATCAAAATTACAGCCATCATTCAGAACCGCCTGAAATCTGGCTGAATATAAGTCCTATATCTAGAGAAATAAAGAAGTAAGTACATCTAGACTGGTACAGTGGCTGAAGGCATGGAACTGGATGGTCTGACACTTAACAGAAGAGCAAAAATTTTAAAAATCCAAAAATATGAAGATAGTGTAAGAAGCCTCTGGGGCAACTTCAAGGGTGCCAACATTCACATCATGGGGGTGCCTGAAGGAGGAGAGACAGAGCAAGTTATTGAAAATCTATTAGAAGAAATAATGACAGAAAACTTCCCCTGCCTGAAAAAAAAAAAAAAAATACACTTACAAGTCCAGGAAGCACAAGAATCCCAAACAAAAGAAACCCAAAGAGCCCCACACCAAGAAACATCATAATTAAAATACCAAGGGTTAAAGACAAAGAGAGAATCTTAATAACAGCAACAGAAAAGCTGTTAGTGACCTACAAGAAAGCATCCATATGACTGTCAGCTGATTTCTCCACAGAAACTGCAGACAGAAGGGAGTGGCAAGAAATATACAAAATGATGAATAGCAAGAACCTACAACTGAGATTACCCAGCAAAGCTCTCAATTAGAGTTGAAAGTCAGATAAAGGGCTTCAGAGAAAGAAAAAAAAAAGCAGCTAAAGGAGTTCACCACCATCAAACCAGTATCACATGACATGTTGAAAGGCATTCTTAAGAGGCAGAGGGGGGGGAAGAGGAAGAAGAGGGAGAAGAGATAAAAAATATGAACAATAAAATGGCAATAAATATATATCTATCCACAATTAAATATAAAGATCAAAGTAAAAGGAAAAGGAGTCCAATGAACAAAACAAACCAATTAATAAAATAGAACCAAAATAATGTAACAAACAACAGACTGAAGAATCTCAGAGGCAAGGGGGCCATGAGGGTGAGAAGAAGTGAACCAAAGACCTGCCATGCATATATGCATTATCTTTGGATACTGACAATAGGGTGGTGAAGGCCTGGGGCAGTATGGGAATTAGGTGAGGGGGGCAATGCACAGGGGAGGGGGACATCTGGAATACTCTCAACAATAAGGATTTTTAGCTCTAGCTGGTTAGGCTCAGTGGATAGACCGTCTGCCTGTGGACTGAAGGGTCCCAGATTCAATTCTGGCCAAGAGCACATGCCTGGGTTGTGGGCTTGATCTCCAGTAGGGAGTGTGCAGGAGGCAGCTGATCAATGATTTTCATCATTGATGTTTCTATTCTCTCCCTTCCTCTCTAAAATCAATAAAAACATTTTTTTAAAAACAAAGATTTTTAAAAATAAATAAAATTATATTTCTCTTAAACTTACCTAGTTTTGTAAGTTGTAAATAATAAGCTCTTAATTTTCTGTTTCAGCCCCCTCTTGAAAATGCCAAAGACTGGCTTAAACAAAGAAGTTTAAGATTTAAATATTAAACATTATTTTTGTTTTAGCCTTTATTGGATGAAACAAAATAGCTTAATATTTAAATATTAAACATATTGAACCTTTATGATTCATAACTCCTTGGCTGAAACAAAAAAAATCCATTTTAAATGTTAAATATTTTGTTTCAGCCACAATTGGCCAAAAAGTATTAAAATTTTAATAGTGAGCTGTTTTGTTTCAGCCAATATTTGCATCTTGAAGAGGGGTCTGAAACAAAATTAAAAGCTTAATATTTAAAATTTATGAAAATAAGTAAGTTTAAAAGAAATTAAAACTTTCAAAAGATTTCTTGTAAATCAGTAGCATTTATACTTCTGCAAGTGCCAAAGCTTAAATTGCACTAAGATTTTATATCTTGTATTTTTATAGAAATGTCCTCCTCTTTTATTTTTTTTAATATATTTTATTGATTTTGTACAGAGAGGAAGGGAGAGAGATAGAGAGTTAGAAACATCGATAAGAGAGAGTCATCGATCAGCTGCCTCTTGCACACCCCCTACTGGGGATATGCCCGCAACCTTGACGGGAATCGAACCTGGGACCCTTCAATCCCCAAGCCAACGCTCTATCCATTGAGCCAAACCGGTCTTGGCTGTCCTCCTCTTTTAAAAATAGTTCTCTGAGGTGGAGATCCAAGGTGATGGCCCAGTGGGTGGAAGTTACCATCACCTCTTCCCAGGACCAAACTGCGGTTACAATTAAAATATAAAAGCAGAGATTTAAAACCATTTTCATCTCATGTAACACATAAACAAATTACAAAAATCCTGCAGCATACTAAAAAATGTATTTTCTGCCTATCTGACAAAACTAATAATAATCTTTATTCATTCACCCCAAATGGCTATTGATTTGTTGGCTGTTACCATTTTTATTTGACAGCCTAGGGGAAAGGCTAAATAGTCAGGTATTACATGTTTTAAAATTGTTTGCAGCACACCAGTTGAAAATAAACTAAAGAATATATTAAATGCACACACACACACACACACACACACACACACACACACACACACAAATCCAGCACCAATAATGTGAGATTCACAATGTCTTTCATAATAAATAAATAAATAAATAAATAAATAAATAAATAACAGGCAGGGAGCAGGAGCAGGGTAGAGGGGATCAACAGAAGAAAAAGGGCACATCTGTGATATTTTTAACAATAAAGATAAATTTTGAAAAATAAACATCATGCTTATTTTGAAAGAAGACAGGAAGAAAGGCAGGCAGGCAGGCAGGCAGGCAGGCAGGAAGGAAGGAAGGAAGGAAGGAAGGAAGGAAGGAAGGAAGGAATCCTACCAGACACATAAAGAAGCACGGAAAATATTATCTATAATGAGAAGAAAAATCAACCAATTGAACATGACCCAGAAATAAGATGACAGCAGACAGGAACATTAAAAGAGTTGTTCTAACCATATAAGAAGGTATGGGCATGTTAAGGTGGGACAGGGAAGAAATAAAAATACATGATTCAAACTCCCAGAGATGAAAGAACACTTGAGAAGAAAACTGGGAATGTGATTAACAGCCAACTAAATACATAGAAAAAATTAGTGAACTTAAATATATAACAGAGAACTACACAAAGTAAGAGAGAAGATAAAGAAGAATAACAGAGCATCAGTGAACTATGGGCCAACTTAGAGCAGCCCAGTCTATGCTTATAATACGGTAGTATGCAAATTGGTTGGGATGCCATCACCTGAAGACTGATCAGCAGGAAGGCGGGGCAGTGAGCTATATGGGGTGGGGTGGAGAGCTACAAGCGATGGTGGGCAGGACAGCCAGCTGAGGCAAGTGGCAGTGAGCTACTCATGCACAGATTCATGTGCAGGGCCACTAGTGTATATATCACTGGAATCCCCAAAGGAGGGTGGAGGAGGAGGAAATGGTGATACAAAATATTTTTCAAAAAATCAAGAAGACAGCAGAGCAACACCTATAAAGGGCTGAAAGAAAAATATTGTCAACATGGAAATCTTTTAATGATACAGACTTTTTCTGTTATATAAAATCTGAAAATATTCATCCCCTGCAAAGCTGCACTACAAAATTGTGAAAACAAGTCCCTCCCACAGAAGGATGATGGGACCCAAAGAAATCTGATACTACTAATGAGAGAATGACGGTCTCTAGAAACAATAACTAGTTGGGGAAATATAAAATTATTTTCTCATTTTCATAATGACACTAAAATAAGAAAAAATAAAAGGTTTACTTTATCCGCATCCTCGCCAACACTTGCATGATAAAAAGTTCTGGAAATAGTAGTGATGGTTGCATGCATTATAAATAAATTTAGTGCCACTGAATTTTACAGTTAACAAGAACTAAAAGGTAACTCTTTTTACTTTAATTTTATAGTTGACACTTTTATAGCTGTCTCCATTCTCCCCTCTTTGCCCTCCTCTACCCAGCCCCAGCCCCCATTCCTTCTGGCCATCTCCACACTGTTGTCTGTGTCAATGGGTTATGCACGTATGATCTTTGGTTAATACCTTCCTCTTCTTTCATCCAGTCCCGTCTCCCCCAACCCCTCTACCAGCTGTTGGTCTGTTCCATGTACTCATGCCTCTGTTTCTATTATGTTCATCACTTCATTTTGTTCATTAGATTCCACATATAAGTGAGATCATATGGTATTCATCTTTCTCTAACTGGCTTATCTCACCTAGCATACTAATCTCCAGGACCACCCATGCTGTTACAAAAGGTAAGAAATCCTTCTTTTTATGGCCATCTAGTACCCCATTGTATAAATGTTCCAAAACATTTTTTATCCGCTCATTTACCGATGGGCACCTGGGCTGTTGCCACATCTTGGCTACAGTAAACATCAATGCTATGAGCAGGGAGGTGCGTGTATTCTTTCCAAGTGGTGTTCCAGGATTCT